CCAGCACTGAAAGTCCAGTCAATTTTCCCAGCCCTGTTGGTTTCTTTCCCATTCCAGAAATGGGGGAATTTTTATTCCATCCCCCAAAAGGGCCTGTTCTGAACATTATGCCACAAACTGAAGACGTCCCAGCAGGCTTGTCCCATCCTGTCCCCACCTCCCTCGCCCTGTGTATTTCCTGCTCCAGCCCTTCTAAAACAAACCCACCAGCAGCCCCCTGAAAATCCTCTCTCTGAACGGGTTTCCCATCCCCCCACAGGATGTGTTATAGTCACTGGGATCGGGCAGTCCTACCCCTGTGGGGAGCTCCATTTTCAGACAGAGAATGAAAATTCATACACAGTTACAATCACCGATAACAATAAATGTTGCTAGGAAAAGGTACGCAAAGGAGACAGGCTGGGTCAGCCCAAACAGAAAGATCTAAATAGACATTGGAGGAGTGGGCCTGAAACCTGGATCTCCTAAAACCCAGGTGAGCGCCCTGCCCCAGGGCTGGAGTCAGTCTCCCTCTCTCTTACCCAACACATATGTAACCACTTCTACATGGTGGAACAGCTTCAATGGGAGAGACTGAGATGTACCCTGGAAAACCCCAAAGCCTTGTGCACCTAACTCCAGGAGAGGGTTCACAGCTGAGAGTGACCAAGTAGGGATAGCTGCCTGTGTCCCTTGAGGGGCAGGGGCGTATGACCCACCCCTCTCCTCGGCATTTCCTATTGGCTAGCTCAGGCAGCTCCCCAGTCAGCATGCTGTGTTTTGTGGATCCAATGTTTAGCTCTGCCCAGGTATAATATAGGGAGACTAACTCAGGGCTGTGAATTCCACTCAGAGGCAAAGCATCTGAACGTTAGGTGCTGCTATGCTGATCTTGTAATGCCTAAATTCCTTTGTACATCTAGCCCTCAGCTATTTTCCCATCAGTATCTGGGAGACACTGGTCCCTTAGCTGAGGGAGGCTCATTAAATATGGAGGAAACAACTTGATTCGCAGATATCAGGGGGAAAGTTTATCGCAGGGGAGTTTAATCTCCCACCCATGTGGTGTTATGGATTTTTAAGGCCAGAGTTGGAAGAGACCACTGAATTTAGAAAACCTAGTCTGACCTCCTGTATGGTACAAGCCAGTGCAATTCATCCAGCTACTCCTGCATTGAGCCCAGTCCCTTGTGTTGGACTAAAACACATGTACCAAGGTATCCAGTGCTGAATTCAAGAGATGGAAAATCCGCCGCTTCCCTTGTTAGTTTTTTCAGTAGTTAATCACCCTAATTTTCCATTTGTATTTCTCTGGCTTTCACTTTCAGCCATTCTTTCTCCTTATGCTTTTCTCTGCTAGAATTCAAGAGGTCTTTAGAGTACCTGATCATTTCTTCTTGTAATCAAATCAATGTCTCAGGGCAATATTTCTCCTCCCAAATTGAGGAAATCTTACATCATTCAAAAATTAGAGTGCAAACATCAGTGAATTTTGAGGAGATTTTATATTACTATTTGATAACTGAAAGAGAAAATACGGAAATGAGTCATGTGTAAGTTAATTAGAAAGGAGAAGTCAATTAATTTTTCTTAGTAGTGGGTATTTAGAGAAATAAATGAGCAGATAATATATTAATCTATAAATAGAGAAATTGAACAAAATTTGAGAGGATTTTATATTAAAATCTGGCAAGTGGAAAAAAGGGAAAAAAATCTGAACGGTTGTAGAGCGGTATTTTATTAATGGAGAGCAAAGGGACTAGACTAGTGGTGATTGTATTGCTATATTTATATATAGGCCTGGAAGATTTCTTTTTAACTAAGTCAATAGATAATATCAATGTTTATTTTTAAGGGTTTCCGTTTTATTTTTATTAAGTTTTCACAGTAGCAGGAAATTACAGGGTGAGTCAGACAATAATTATGTCATGACTGTAGATATTGGGATTAAAAAGTTAAAGCTTTATAACCATTAAGACACACATTGTCAGCATCACATGTCAAAACATACCAAGTAACTATCCTTAAATCAAACTTTAAGAAGTTTGAGAACATGATCTATGAAGGAAGGCTGAAAGAACTGGCTTTGTTTAGTTTGGAAAAGAGAAGACTGAGAGGG